CTGACTGTTCTGTACCTCAAATTATCAACATTAATACTTCATGTCGCCAGTTTTAGTTAATGAAACGTGTTAAATTACTAGTTGTGTTTTAACTGCAGCTGCTCTGCAACATGACGGTTTAAACGGGTCTATTTCTAATTCAACGTTTTAAAATATCTATTACTGCTTAAATTTTGAAAGGTGGTCTTTTTTAAATTTATGGTAATTCCAGTTACTGAACTCAACTAGAAAATATTTGGTCTTTTTTTCCTGAGAGATTCATTCAACCTTTATTTCTACAGGTAAATCCCATTGAGCCTCGAGGACTCATTTACAAGAGAGACCTGATTTAACAAAGAATGATGACAACATGACAACAAGACTGACGTAATTTAGTTAAAGTTATAGATCATTTGTCAAAGACTGCAGCATAAATTGTGACATTATCATTAAAGAAAAACGTGATTGTGGAGATGAGTCAATGTTTTCATGTTTTCCAGGTAAACCAGAGGAGAATGACTTCATGAACTGAATGTTGCATTCAAAGTATCACAAAGGTACAAGATCTCATTTTCTGTCTTCTATTAATCAATAACAGCTGAATCAAGATGTTTGAATAAAATTACTTTAACACCATAACCTTCACAAAGTTGGTATTTACTGCAGGACTGTTCATTTACATTAGTTTTATATTATTAGTTTAGTGTTTGGTAATCATGGGTCAAGTTGAGATGAGACTCTTTCAAGACAGAACAAGAAATAAGAATTATTACAAGAATATATCAGCATCAATAAACTGTACGACAGTAACAAAACACTTATTAAACTATCACAGGTACATTGAGATGGAGCTGGAAGTTCTTCTTCATGCCAGTTGTCTTCATCTGATCTTTTGTAAAAATATGTCAATTTATTTTCCATTAACATTTTTCTTCACAGGACTGAGTTAATTTTCTTGTCTGTGAGTTTCTTCTGTCCTGCTTATGTATGTTTTTGTGTTCTAATTGTTCCCTCAGGTTTTTCATCTCTGTTCCCTGACTGCCTGTTGATCCATCCTCCTGGTCCTGTTGATCCATCCTGGCCCTGTTGATCCTGGATCATCAGATCCTGACATGTCCCCGTCCTCTGAGGACACATTTTCATCTGTCCCTCATCTCACTCGCCTCATTTCTGTTTCTTCCTCAGTCTCTGAAATTACAACGTCACTGTTAGAATGAAGATTATTGTTCAATAAAAATATGACATGTCTTATTTAACACTGTTCGTACCAAAGTTTAATTTAGAACAACATGTGTGATCACTGGTCAGATCAATGGTCAGTGGAAATTCTGCTGTTCTTCTCATCTGGTTCTGGTCCATGAACAACTGGTTGAACCTCCTTCAGTCTCACACGTCCTCACTGTGTCTCTGTGAACTGTCCTCTCTCTAAATGTGTCTGTAGAGCGACATTAGTTTATTTTCTTGCACATTTCTTTGACAGTTAAACATTTTGAGCCCTGATTGAAAATGTTTGTGCAGATTAAATTTACAGCTCTCACTTTGTGTTGTTGTGATGATGATGGTGCTGCTGCTGACTTCAGATGATGTCATTAATAAACAGTATAAATGTCAGTAAAAGTACTTTATTAAAGCTTGCTTTACATTTTACATATTTTATAATAAATTGTTTGGAAATTTATTTTTGCACAGTTAACACTTATTTTGTCATCTGTTATGATTTTAACTAGAAACAGTTTCATTTAAATTAACATTTTAATCAATGAATTACAGTTTTACAATAGTTGTCAGGCTACAATCAACTCAGTTATCAGGTACTTGGTGCCATAAAAAAAAACGACAAATACAACAATTATATTCAGTCTCTCTTGTAAATGAGTCCTCGTGGCTCAATGGGACGAACCTGTTTAAATAAAGGTTGAATTAATATCTTCGATAGAAATCAATAATTCATCCAGATGATCTGAGGTAAGCTGGAGCAGATCTGAACTGCTGCATGGAGGACAAGGTGGAGCATTCTCATGCAGAGAACATCAGAAACAGCTTTATAACAGGAGTTACTCTGATCTTTTTTTAACGTTATAAAACACTGACATGACTATATTGATCATTGTATTGCATATACATTATTTTTCTAACAAATATGTGTTTGCAGTCTCGTTTCCTTCTAAAATTTAATGATAAATGTATCAGCTGCTTCTAAAAATGCTTTGATAAAATGCATAGTCTGTGAAATAATCAATAATCAGTTCAGTAATCAGTTCGTTACTGCTCAATAATTACTGAAAGACGTCAGGTAAAGTAAGAAAAGTCGATTTTTGTGTTATGTTGCGCCAGCAGCTGCTCAAACTGACTGACAGCGATGAGCTGTTTGGAACTACTGGGAGCTGCATGAACCACGTGACCGCGTATCGGCGAGTTCAAAGAGTGTCGCAACTCTCTCTTTACAGGGCTCTGGGAGAAACCATTATGAGACCAAATCGCTGGTGGAGGTAATGACAAAGTTCTTTAATAAACTTTACATTTCAGCCTTAGTTCTGTGAACTAATCAATTTTAGTAGAGACTACTAAATGTGTTTACTACATTGTACTGAGGTTCTGTTAACACAACTAAACATGTTTAGTTTCTTCTTTGTTGGGAGGAAGGACCTGCGGTAATGCTCCTTTGTGCATTTAGGATGCAGTAATCTGTCACTGAACGAGCTGTCCAGTTCAGCAACAGCTTCATGCAAGGGGTGGGAGACGTTGTCCAGCAATGATGTTAGTTTAGCTAGAGTCCTTCTGTCTCCCACCACCTGCACTGGGTCGAGGGGGCATCCAAGCACGGAGCTGGCTTTCTTGATGAGCTTATCTACCTGCTTCTTCTCAGCTGATGATAAGCTGCTGTTCCAACACACAACACCATAGAATATGGCTGATGCTACTACCGAGTCAAAGAAGGTCTTCAGGAGCACCCGCTGCACTCCAAAAGACCTCAGTCTCCTCAGTAGATAGAGTCTGCTCTGACCCTTCCTGTAAAGTGCATCAGTGTTGTGAGACAAGCCCAGTTTGTTGTTCAGGTGAACACCCAGGTACTTACAGTATAAGAGTCCACAATCTCAATGTCCACACACACACACACGCACATATATATATCCATCCATTATCTTTACCCGTTTATTCCATTTTGGGTCACGGGGGTCGCTGGTGCCCATGTCCAGCAATCACTGTGCGAGGGGCG